AGAAAATATTATTTTGGCTATGTTGTTTGACGAACCTAAACACATAAGACAATTGGGGTTCCAAAGAATTTTGAAGAGCAGACAGTTAAATTACAATGATCAGTGACATTTCGTAGTGCCAGAATTATTTTTTGGCAGTAAGGATTACTTTGAGATTATCGACTGCCAGACAGTTTTATGGACAGAGCCTCCTGTAACTATGAAGCTATCAAAAGACCAACTAAGGGAAGTTGTTGAAAATCCTGAAACCAGTCTTTTGGCATACGTAAAATCATACCTTGTCACACACAAGCGGTTGAGAGGGCCGTCAAAATAGTAACAGAAGGTTCAGTGACAGAAGGCCTTCTGTCTGTGGAAGTGAAAAAAGAGACGGTTATATAAGGAACAGGCTGAAGTCAAGGGAAAATATGCCGAAATATGAATCAAAGAAATAGTTTTTTTTTGAAATAATGTGATTGTTACTTTTGAAAGACATTCTGTTTTGTATCGTTATATATTTATAGATAAACTATTTTTGTATTTGTATTGTTGTATTATGTGTTCAAAACAAATTTAGCTTTAGTATAAATTAATTTTTTGTATGCAAAAAAAAATCTATCATACAATACATTTTTTTTTGAAAAATTCTTAATTTTATACAGCGCTGTCAAGTAGAAAAAAAAATTAGTTGTCAAACAAAATATTATCATTAAATTTATCGTATAAAAACACATTTTTTTACTCAGGCAACCATAATAAATTTAAAAAAACGAATTTGACATAATATTAAATGATTGGATTTTTTCGAAAAAATCTCGTTCTTATATAGCTCTGTGGCAGTGGAAAAAAATTAAATTAATTATAAAAAAAAACACTGTGAAATAAGTCATCTTATCATACATCTTTTCTGGGGTCAGGAAACTTAATTAAAAAAATAAAATAAAAACACATTACTCAACGGCCCACCCTAATGTATATACATATCGCCCCTCCAGATCTATAAGGGCACAACTCAAAAAGTATCGTTTTAAGTAAATCACTTTTGAAGTTGTAGACAAAAAACTTTAGGCTATGAAAACACATATACTGTAAATACAAATAATTTTACAACAGCTAACTATTTTTATTTACCAGTATTTTACACCAGTATCATTAAAAAAACATAAGAATAAATTCTTAAATTGTTTTTTGACATGTGCCTATATTACCACTCAAAAATGTACATCTCAATCATGCCAACCCTAAAAGTGCCTGTTTTGCCATTAATAAAATGGATATGACACTATGACTCATCGAATCAAAAACAATCTTACTGTCTAAAATTATTTAAATATATTCTACTAACTTATTCTTATTACTCTATTGACAAAAATTATAAAAATACATTTAATACAATGTTGGTAATTACTGGACTATTATATACTAATAAAATATGTATTTTAACAGTGTAAATTGCTTAAGTAATATCTAAAAAGATAATTAATTTTTATGAAATTAACATCATCTTAATCATTAAGATAAGCTAATGAATTCAAATTTTTATAAAAAATTTGGTAGGGCTTTGTAATAAGGTTTGCTTCGCAGAGAGATAGAAAATCATTTTTCTTTGCATCTGATATAGAGGGTGGATGGGGAATGCTTTTTCAAGCACCAAACTATTTAATTTTCCACGATTATTTGATCTGACATTTATTTTTAAAAACTGAGAAAAAATTGATTTCTCGTATATTTCAGTTTTGTACAGTAAAATAAATGGTTCATTTCTATTAGCATGCATTACTTTCATCATTTTCTGAATTTTTTGAAAAGTTACTCCCAACCTGCTCTGATAATCTTTTAAGATCAATTACATCATCTGTAACTATTTATGTTATTTTAAATGAACTGCCGGTGGTTTTCCTTGCATTTTGCAGTACCATAACCCACTGGGAAGGAACAGAGATAGTACCAGATTTTAATTGCCATTGTTTTTTCTTTTCAATTAGACCAAGCATCATATCCCCTTCATTTTGTGTATGCCCTACTTCCAAATACTTATATGGTAATACCTTTGATACCTAACTCCCGAACTGCATATAAATACAAACTGGCTAAGTACTTGTTTTTGTTTTGTCCTACACAATTATCACTGTAAAATATAACATCTTTGTCTCAGCAGTGATCTTTTAAAAACATTTTAAAGCCAATTTCATTGCTACCACGCTTAGCAACACCTTCATGCCAGACAAAACAGAAACCTCAGCTAGATCCAATTTCATAAATAGTAAAATTAAAAGTTGACAATTTTCTTTTATAATAAAACAGAAAAGCATCACTCTGTGGTATTTGCATTACAGCTTGCAAATCAAAACATTCACAAGCACAATCCCTTTTTGTTGCTTTAGCAGGATCAACTACATAGTTTTTGATTTCGAGCTAATTCTGTGTTGCTTAGTTGTTTGTCATGTTTAATTCTTAGTCCTTCTTGTTTATCAGAATTATCATTTTTGAATGTTTCATACTTTACATATAAATCCTCTTAGTTTAAAAAATCCTATGTTAAAATTATTACTAAAATCATGAGCACAGAGAGCATAAGTTACTTTTTGAGTACTATTGTCATTACACTGTTGCACAAACATTCTATGCATTTCTGCTATTGTAAGTTGGCCTTCAAGGTATTCCCTTTTTGTTTGAGCTCTCAGATCATGGGATGGAATGCAAGGGAAAGTGTTGACGTGGTCTTTTATTTTTTGTACAACAGCAGTAGGAATAACTGGGTGATTTTTATATTTCCCACATTTATCCTTTTCAAGAACTCCAATAGACAGGTTTTTGGCAATAGCTGTGCGAAATACTTTAGCAGTGATGTCAAGAGTAAATAAAAAGAAATGTTTACAGACTCGTTGCAATTCCTGGCTAGTGTTAAAATTAAACGCATGATTATTAGTTCTAGTGCTCTTCTCCCTTATATACCTATACTACCTATACTTGGGCTCAATTAGTTTTACATGCCTTACAATAAATTCTTTTTGGCGATTAATATCACACATGCCCCAGTAATTATTAAAAATATCTTTTCTATCATCGTGAGTAGTACACTTTAATTTACATTTTTCTTCATTACAAGGTGGCTTAATACTTTTACTAGCTACTTGATTTCTTTTAGTATTTGTGTATGACTTCCCAGAATTGCGGTTTTCTTTGGCTTCAGCTGATTTCCAGCATCTGATATTGCGTTTATGTTTTCTTGTCTTGTTTTGGTCTAAACAAAAAAAAATATGTCTATGCTGTCTTTAGCTAATGCTAAATATCTATGACTTTTATTCAAGTGAATACAGTTTGCAAATTTTTAAGTGACAAATTCATTAACTTACATTGAGAATGTAAATCCTCATATGTTTCATTGTTAATAACAGGTACATTTCCTGGTATTTCACCTTTTGTCTGAGTTTGGTTTCCTTCATCCATCTTTTGCCTTTTAAGTATGTGGGCAGCAGAAAGAGAGGTATCTTCTTCGCTGCTTTTAATCACATTGCAAGCATTATTATGGTTGATCGAAGTCCATTTTTCATTAGCATCTGAATCGTCACTTATACTAAAGGCTACATTATTATCTCAACCGTACAAAATGAACTCAACTTTTAAATAGGTAGGCATAGGTACTTGTTTTAGAAATAGGTTATATTATTAACAATTCGTACTTACTTTTTAAATGAATTAGGCTACTTTTTTTTATTAAATTAGGCTAATTGATCATGTCCCTAATCACGAATGCATAAAATAAATTCATACAAAATTATTTGGTAAAAAATCACTTAAAATCTAGTATAAGATTTGTTTAGAAACCATTTACCGTTTGCTTACCTTATTCAAAGAATCAATTTGTTTACATTTTGTATGTACTTTATTCAATGGTGCTGAAGTTTCATCTTCATCACTGAGTACATTATTTATGCACAAATCAAGTATTTTTTACGCCGTAAAGTGAAAGCCATAGTTCTGCATTAACTAACGCGAAGCACACTAAACGAAAATATCGTTGTTGAATAACATAACCTAATTTTCATTCAGTCTGATCACAATTCGAAATTAGCTGTAACTTTCTTTGTGGTAATACGGACCCAATTAAAAATTTAATTAATTACCTATTACTTCAAAGGGCACAAGTTAAAAAGTGTCTGTGTTTACGGTACAAAGGAACAATGAAATATTTTTAAAAAGGCCCATCTAAAAAAGTGCCTCTATATTACTTTAAAAATCTAACATAAAAAAATAGGCACATCACTCAAAAATAAAATTAATGGCAAGATTAGAGACGTAACGATATTACCATTAAAAAGATCGTTCAAAACTAAATATAAATAAAGGCCGAACTCAAAATGGTGAATTTTTAAGTTGTGCCTCTATAGATCTGGAGGTGCGATATATATATATATATATATATATATATATATATATATATATATATATATATATATATACACTAGATTGTAATTATGGGTACATCATATTGATGACAAATACAAAAACATCTTGAGTTATTGTATGTATGTATGTACCTCATTTACTAACTGGATTTTGTTTAAACAAACCATCGAAATATTTTGTACCTTGATGCTTTCTTTTCATACACTAGTTTTTTGTTTATTCGTAAACGTTCATAGTAATTTGATTTTTTTTATTGCATTTACTTTTTTATGTCCAATGTGTATATTCTAGTTTTGCTCACTTTTATGTCACGTTTTTTGCAGTGGTATATACTGGCATGTATTTGTTTTTAAACAGCTTTATAATTCTGAGTAAACTTACTTTTATAATTGTTTTGCAATTTTGTATTATTGTTGTTTTCAGTATATTACTAGTATACTTCTTATTTTTCTAGGGTATCGAATTTTTTGTTGTGGTATTATTTTTTAATATCAGCATTCTTAAAAACATTTAATTTAATTACATTCAGAATTTCTAAAATGATAATGGAAATATAATGTGAAGATTTATATTAAAAAATTTTATAACAAAATATTTTTATGAATTTGTAGGTACAACGACATATTAATTGAAAAGTTTAAGGACGACTCAAATGTTTTAGAATTAGCAAAGTATTTTGTAGACTGGTGTCACAAACTTAGCACGTGTCTTGAGTCTTCGAAAACGTGGTACGATCTGTCAGTTCATGGATCCGCGATAGCTTTTGTACGAAGCGAGGGAGATCAACTATTAAATTGGAAAGATAAGGGATACAAGACTATTCTCGATGTTCTAATGGTAAATATAAATAAAATATATTTAAGCTATAATAGTTAGTTTATGAAGAAAATCTGAAGCCAAAATATATTCCGTTCAATTTGGGCGAAAACAGAGTTTTTTAAATAACGAAACTTGACCCAAAGTTACCATATCTATTAAACTGACGTGTCCTCGACAGACTCTTTAATAGCAATCGCTTTCCAATTCTGATTTTCAATAGCCAGAATAAATCTAGAAATTATTATCATGTACCTAAATGGCGAATCGCCCATGCAGATTGGATTGGCTTCTGCTCGTATGTTAAAAAAAAAAGTTCCACTTCTGTCTCTTTTTCAATTAACCTTATTATCCACTGCATTATCTCTGCAGCTGAACTACATATTGGCAAAAATTTTTACGACCTATACACGAAAGAATGTGCCATGGTGGAATAAGGATCGTGAACACGCATTCTTCAGTGCAAAAAAGTTAAAAATAAAACTGGAACAAAACCATGAAGTGGAGATATCCATAAGTGGCTAGTATACCTGTTGAATACAAAGCAGGTGGTGTTCGTGTATATCAAAGTATAAAAAAATGCTTATTAAAAGCTTAAAACTTTATTTAAAGAAGATCTTTTCGGAATTAACTCATTCCATCATCAGTTTAATGAAAAATTGTTAAAAACATTGTTTGGCCACAGAAAGAACACTAGAAGAACATCAGTAATAAAAAAATCCTCGTGGAATTTACAAAGGTAAAGGAGAATTTTTTATTACTGATCAAACAACGTTTTTAACAACTTTTTATTAAACTGATGATGGAATGATTTAATTACGAAAAGATCTTCTTTAAAATAAAGTTCTTAGCTTTTAATAACCATTTTTTTATACCTTGATACACACGAACACCACGTGCTTTGAATGCAAAAAAGCTTTATACAGATACCAACAAACTTGAAATAACAAAGATTTTGTGCAATTTAAAAAACTAAAGGTCACAACAAAATACGTGCTAAATGATAACAAGAAAGTTTTATGGAGAGAATACATTTCGTCATTAAAATCCAACACCTCTTCTGCCCAAGTATAAACAAAAATATGACAACATGAAAATATAACGAATTGTAAATTTACTACCTGATGCGTTTGAATAAAAAGACAATATTCAACTAATATATCATCAGGCACATTACCTGGAAAGTTCTCCCCAATAAAATCTTTACAAGACATCGATCTTATTAACACACCATTTACCTTAGAGGAACTATTGACGGCACTGGATTTGTGTAAAATCACAGCCTCTGGTTCAGATAACATTCCTTTCATATTATTAATGAAATTATCGACTCCTTGCCTTCTTGTTTTATTAAAATTTTGCAACGGTATTTGAAACAGTTATAATTTTTTCAAGCGGTGGCTAAAACCATATATTATTCCGATTAAAAAAGTTCATAATCAAACAAAAAGGTTATCTAATTCATATAGTCCAATATCGTTGATGTGCACAAGAAAATGGTAAACAAAAGATTGGTCTGGTTTTTGAAAAAAAGAAAGATAACTATTTCACCGGTACAATTCGTTTTAGATTTCATCGTTCTACGTCAGATAATTTGATAATTTTACAGTCGCATATTTTCGACTCCATGGCCTGTAAATAAGATTTATTAGAAACCTTTTTTATAGCGAAGGGGCCTTTGACTTTGTTTAAAAATCTGTAATGCTGCAAAATCTTCAACAGTGTGGACTTGGTGGAAACATATACTACTTTGTGCAGAATTTAACGTTATTTTAAAAGAAATGCTGTCATCTACTCGTATTCAACTAACTGAAGTAGCAAGAGTTTCTGTTATAAGCAAAACTTTGTTTAGTTTGGCTTTTAAGATGTAGGCAAAAGTATTCATCTCCCAGTTAGATTATAATCTGATATCCTTGTACTATTTTGCAGAGGAAACAATATCGAAACAACCTGTCGACTAATGCAAACAGCCAATGATAATATAGAAAGGTGGTCAAGGCATATTGGGTCTCAAAAAACTAAAATCATGAAACTTAGCAGTTATACGACAAAAGATAATCCATATTTGACATACAGCGGAGTATTACTAGATTTTATTGATCATCATAAGTCTTAGGACTCACCTTCGACTTCAGACTACAAATAAATACATACAAATAAAAAAAGTCAACTGCTTAAAAGATATTAATATTCTAAAAAGTCTAGCACATTTCCAATGGAGAGCTGACGAAGAGGTATTGATTACAGTTTACAGATTCATTATTTGCCCCAAAATAGACTATGGTAGTTTTGTCTATACAGTGTGTAAAAGCCAAATGGAATAAATTCATTATTTAGGTTACTGTACATATTTATAAAAAATTCCGAAAACATGTCAAATTTAAATTATAACTTGACATTCTTTAACGTGAAAATGCAACCCCTAACTTCAACCCCCTTAGAATGACAGATACAACCCCCAATTTTTAAAATAGGAAGTACAGGGTTGTGATATATCGTTTGAAAAGTCTTTTCATTCTCGATTCAAAAATGTTGTCGCTTTTAAGTTTATTAAGTTTAATTTAGATAAAATAAATTAAAATCATGTGGTTACAGAAATTCGCTACAACACAATCAAAAACTAAAATGTAATGCAAAACGTAATAAAATTTAGAACACGAAAAAGAACTATGAATGTTAATGAAGTAGATGTTTAAAATGTTCACCGCGAACGTCTTGACAACATCCTAATCTCAAATAAAACTGTCTTCTAACATTATTTAACATAACAGGCGTGATCGACCTAAGCGCAAGCGTTATTCGTTCTTTTAAGTCATTTAAATGAAAAGGTTTAGTTTTGTACACGTGACTCTTCACATATCCCCATAAAAAGAAATCTAATAATGTAAGATGAGGTGATCGCGCTGGCCATTCAATCGATCCTCGCCTCCCTATCCACCGATTGGGAAATATTGTATCGAGGTACTGCCGGACATTAAGTTGGTAATGTGGTGGTGATCCATCCTGCTAAAACCATATCGTATTCGCTAGAACTTGAGGGTTTCCTGGATCACGATATAAATTTGCCAACATTGTAACAACATCATTTTGAAGTAGTGCCAAATAATTGTTGCCATTCAAATTGCCCTAAACGAAAAAGGGACAAATGATATTGTTTGCTACAATCCCTGCCCAAACATTAACCTTTTGAGGGTATTGAGTGTGTTCTTCTCTCATCCAGTGAGGATTTTCCGTGGCCCAGTAGCGGCAGTTTTGCCGATTAGCATGACCGTTAAGTGAAAAAGTACACTCATCAGAAAACATAACATCTTCTAATTGGATAATATTGTTATCCAACATGTCCATCATTTGCTCACAAAAAAAAGTTCTTAAGTAGGTATCATCTTATAGGGATGCAATTTATTTTCTTTTAATATGCTATCGATGTATGGCTAGCGTTGAATGTAGTAGATGCCTGTCTACTCGATGCATGTGGATTTTCCTGAAACTCAAGCAACACATCTAATTTGAGTTCATCACTCAGTGCATTGGCAGTTGCTTTTTTATCTGCCTTACATGACCAAACTCGCGAAACTGCCTTTCTATTTTACTTATTGTTCCTTGGGATATAGGCGGTAAATTAGGAAATTTCTCATGAAATAGGCGATTTACTTCCTGTTGTGTTCGTCTTTTATATCCGTAACCAATCATTTGTAAAACTGTTATTTTATGCATTTTCGTTTTTCTAACCAGTTTTCAGAATTGAATTAAACGAACTTTTTACTTAAATTAAAATATTGACAACTTAAATACATAAAACAATTTACTAATGCGTGTTAAAATAACGTTGCCACGGAAATTCTTTAAAGTTTTTTAATGGTTACCATCTAAAAACCACATTGCTATGGTTTTTGTTCACTTTCTCATTATCAAGACCGAAACGGGAAATAAGTTTTGAGTATATTTTAGCGAATTTCGGTAACCACATGATTTTAATTTATTTAAACTTAATTGATCTTAATAAACTTGAATGCGACAACATTTTTGAATGGAGAATGAAAAGATCTTTCAAGCAACATATCACAAGAATATACTTCCTATTTTAAAAATTTGGGGTTGTACCTGTCATTCTAAGGGGATGAAAGGTAGGGGTTGCATTTTAACGTTAAAGAATGTCAAGTTATAATTTCAATTTAACGCGTTTCGGGATTTTTTTTTTAAATATGTACAGCCCAACTCAAAGTAGTTACTGTGAAGCTACCAAACCACTACTCTGGTTAAGGAGACAACATCTTATTTTGTCATATGCAGCTACCTTATTGACTAATTCACAAAATTCAGTCTACCACCTACTTATTCAACCAAATATTCTCATTCATCATTCTCAGATTACTAGAGCTGCCCAACCTCTTTCTTGTATACTACTGTCTTCTTGATGGTTTCGATCTTGCTGCAACTTCACACTTTTATATCTTAACACGTCCTCCGTAGCACAAGTAACTTCCGAATGTCAATAGCTCCCTTTGATCTTTCAATAAACATGATACCTCTAAAGCTATAATTAAACAATCGTTCCTGGACATACTTAATCAAAATCAGTTTCATAAAGTTCTTTATACAGATACCTCTAAAAATAATGCAGGGATGGGTAGTGCTGTTGTTTCGTCTTTTAGTACTACAAAACTAATCAGACTTCCTGCCGTTTGTAGTATATACACTGGAGAAATATATGGTATCGTCGAAGCTTTTCGTATAATGAAACCAACTGCTTGCAATGTAGCGATTTGCACAGACTCCTTATCATCAATACCATGGTAAATTTAATACATGACATATATAATAAACTTACGGACCATGGTGTAATTGCCACTATTGCCTGCAGATTTAGCCGCAAAGAAGCTTCTACTTTGGATATAATATTATTTGAAAAATGTTCAAAAAGCATATATTTATATGATAAATGGCAAGGTAATTAGAACACAACTCCGAGTCACTTATAACCAGTTATACCTTCCTTAGAGCTACCATCTATGCCCAGAACACACGGTTATTCTAAAAAGATTAAGAATTAAACAGGCTCGGCTTACACATGGCTTTCTCATGGCATGTCTGGATCACAGTATAAAGAGGTTCCACAGTAAAACTACTCGTCTGTCGGCACTTTGATCTCAGGAAGTAATACCGGCAAAGTACGAAATTGGTAATCCACCACCGTTAACCTTACAGAGCCGTATTAAAATTTTCTGAGCCTACTACTATTAATTTATTTAAATAAAAAATGCGGCTTCCCATATTTAACTGTCCAGATGTTCTCACTAAATGTTAATATTACAAAAACAAAGGGTTTAATAAATTAAAAACAATATTATAATTCATTGTTTATATTTTTCAACGGTATTTTAAATATCTACGGTATTGCGTAAGTTTTAAAATCTCAATGGTTTTTAATATATTGTACATGTCATATAAACGTTAAATAAAAAGGAGGTTAATTTCGAAGCTCTTACGCCATCGGTATTACTATACTCTGTTTTTAAACCAGGAGGAGTAATTCAAGTTTATCGCGTCATAACGCTTGTTTATAATTCGTCCAACGGCAGGCAAGTTTACTCCACTGTTTTTCACTCACCGATTGATGCGTATGTGTGTTGGGAAATCAAAAAACCAAGAGCTCTATAAAAGAGATTTGAGAAAAAGCACTTCCAGTTTTTTATAGAAGCCAAAAAAACTCATGGTCAACCATTTTATTTTCAGAATGGTTCGAAAATGAATTCGTCCCAAGCGTAAAATCCTTTTTAAAATAAAAAAAACCTTTCCATCAAAGCATTGTTGCTTGTTGACTCAAAATCTATATAATAGTGATAATTGTCATATTTTTGGCACCGAATTTCACGAACTTAATTCAGCTGTTAGACCAGGGACTAATAAAGACATTCGAGAGACATTATAGAGGAGCATTCTTAAGACATCTGTTATTACAGAAGACAAATGAATCCAAAAGTGTTCCTGAAATCCTCAAATGTTCAACAATATAACATGTTGTTTATCAGTGTGCTGAGTTCTGGGCCAAGATCAAATCTTCAACTTTGGAAAAATGCTGGAACTAACTTTTTGCTAGGATTTTGATTGACGATCCTGAAGAAGAAAATGGCAAAGAAACGACAGAAGAAATTAAGTCTTTAATAAAAAATTTGGCGGGATGTGACGACATTCAATAAGAAGAGATACGTGAGTGGTTAGCAGCCGATGATTTAGAAAGTGAATTCATCGACCAGGACATCATTGATATGGTTCCTCATCCAGACAACCTGAGCGTATCAGACGACGAAGATGACGATAAAATTTTTTTAATATATTCCCAAGAAACGATAATATCATCAATAACAAATTTGTTTCTTAGGAAGTTATTATGAAGTGCTCTTAATAAATAAGGTGTATCAAAAAAAAAAGACAATTTTATTATTTTCATGATAAAAATATGGTTTATCGGCAGATATATTTAACAAATTTGGAAGTTTAAGATTATTAATACCACTTCGAATTTTACTCATGTTCAACTTCACAATACTAAGAATTATTCACAAAACTAACTCAGTTTAAGCAAAATACGGCACTGTTAACCCGTAGGTTTCTACGCGACTAGCAACGGAAGAATGGTTCTCGAGCGACTAAGAAATAAGCGCAGTCGCTCTGCGCGTTGACAGACTTTACTTCCAATTTTTCAGAGAGTGGTTCTACTGTGGAACCTCTTTATACTGTGGTCTGGATCTACCTGCATGCGGTTATTGCAGCAGTCACTTAACCGTCAAGCATTTCCTTAAAGAATGTTCACGTCTTTCTACTAAAAGAAAACAACACCCGGTGGGAGGTAATATACAAAAAATATTAAATGATACTGAGAAATATGCAAATCTGTTTAAATATTTAAGAGACATTCAAGTGCTTTATACACGCTTAATTGTAATTATGTATATTTGATAAATTTAAATTAAAGTATAACTTTAAGTAAGAAAGTATCATAATATATTTTGTGATATTTACTTTAGTTATTAATTTATGGTTATCTTTATTATAACACGATTTAGTTAAAATCATATATGGATTGTAAAAGATTAAGTTATTTAATTTATTATTAAAAAACTTGCAAAAATGTGCACAACTTAAAAAAGTGAACGTAAAAACATAAAATGGAGTAAATAAAAAATATATTCTCAATTCTACCTATGGATGTTTATCAAGTAGGTATATAGCAAAATCTATAAATTGTTTAAACATTCGGTAAAATTAATAAGTAAAAATCAAGGTTTTAAAAGTACTTACTGATGGCATGTCTAATTTAAATATTATGTTTATATGGGAGTAAGCCACAATTATTGGTTGTAATAAAAATCACACTTTATAACTAAGTAGTGTTTGACGTTTCGACTTCTACTCCGGAAATCGTGTGACAGTGTGACTTGACGTCCTAGCATTTTATATAGATACATATTTTTATGTTAAGTTATACGCAAAAGATATAAAAAATTTAGTATTTATAAACAAAACAGATAAAAACGTTAACATTTTAGGAGAAAATTCCAGATCCCACCAAAACACTTCCAATTGAGGATAAAATTTTGCTCAATAAAGAGGTTAACAAAATAGTCTGGGATGAAAATATTTCTAATGAAAATAAACACACTGTTTATTGCTCCGATGAAACCTCGTACACAGCGGATCATATATTAATCACGACATCCGTGGGAGTTTTGAAAAAATTCCACAAAAGTTGGTTCGTACCTGAGCTTCCACCATATAAAGTTAATTGTATAGAACATATTTCGTTGGGTGTTGTAAATAAAATTTTAATTAAATTCCCTACTAAATGGTAAGTAATTTCATAAAAAAATATGAATTTTAAAATCAAAGCCATTTTTAGTTTAAAATTGCACGTACTAATATAATAAAGAAAGTCTAAATGTACTGTTCTTATTTAATACAATTATTAAATCCTAAACTTTTGCATAATTTTTTTACTTATTTAAAAGACTACTTTAAGAAGCAACATGTCAGGCACCACAACCTCTTTACTTCTCTATTTATTTAATATCAAACGCTATTTAGCTACTAATAATTTAATTTTAATAAATTTATACTAATTTAAGTCAAACACACAATGGTTTGACCGTATTCAATAATGCAATTAAGTAGTGCACTTTGAGCAGTGTTGGTTTACAGCGGTCGGGTTTTTGGCATTTAAATACCGGGCTTGCTTTGCATGTTTGTGATTATTCACATTTATTTCTACAAGGAGCTGAGGACTTTTGGTCGATTCCTTTAGAGCCTCGCGCGCAGGAACAAGGCTGAGATTTAATGGGATTTCGCCCAGTATCTTAAGATCACTATTGGCGTCCGAATAATGTACAACTATTAAGTTTTTCAATCAATTAATTTTGTTTTCAAGTTTTCAGTCAAATAAGTTTTCAATCAAGTTTTAAGCAATTATAGCTTTCACCTTAACTTATGGCCTCTTTACATCTGGTTTTCTCCATGCCTTGATATAGTTCAATGAACAGCTACTTAGTAGTTATGGCTGTTTGTTTTGGGGCAACGTATAAACTTTCATTAACGTAATTTAAGAAAACTTGGATAACTCTGGTGTCAATTTTTGACATACAATATGTGTATTTTTTTCCTAGTTAATTTCTTCTGCCATATTTTTTTATCTTTTTCAAATATAGTCACTGCTTTACCACAAATACCAATGGCATGAGTGGCATTCGCAATTCTAAAGTAGTCTTAACAAATACAAGAAAACTAATTGAACGTGCCTAATAGATAATTATTATTTAGTGTGAAATTTTAAGAAAAACTAAACTACACTACATAAGACATCGTTTTATTATTTACATTAAATAAATATTTGTAAACATGCATAGAGATATACATTTATGAAATATTAGTCGATGATTTTAAACATCTTTTATTTATATAGGTGGCCCGATGGCACCAAAGGTTTTAGTTTATTATGGACCGAAAAAGATAGTTTAAATCTAACAAATGAACTTCCAGTTCCTGGACCAATCGATGAAAATGGTAAATCTTGGTTAGAAGACGTATTTGGCTTTTACGTAATTGATAGTGAACCAAATACCCTATTGGGATGGGTTGTTGGCAAAATGGCTGCAGAAGTAGAATACATGAGTGACAAAGATGTTATTGCTTTGTGCATGTTTCTGCTGCGAAAGTTTTTGGGTAAACTTTATAATATCTGCGATGCGAATGAAATTTTGAGGTGAGTATTATTAGAATTGTTTCAACCTATAGCCTTTGTTTAATATTTAAAACAAAATTCTGAATATGGCCCTGTATCACGTCGTGTCGCCCGGTATCTTTTTCTTCTCATTATATAAGCCCGCCAAGAAGGCCTTAGATTAGATTTGGCGTATCCATGCTTATTGTAAGCTATAATAAAGTTATTAATGTAATTATGCATTGTGATATTTGTACTTAAGTGAGCTTTAAAGATAATCTCTGAACCCACGAAAAACCTTAAACATAGTATATTTTATATTAAATTTAATTATTATTTAAATATTTTATATTTAATTAAATATAAAAATTTAGTATCTTAAAGTCTTATAACTTATATAATTATAACCAAATAAGTTTGGTAAGATTCAACATGCAAAAATAAGGTGGTAACCCCAAAAGAGTATGGGTATGTTGTGTTGCAAAGTGCCCAGTACATATTGTTTTTTATAGGTTTTAGTACGAAGCACTTCAAGTAACTGTTGCCTATTATAGTTGTCTTCAAAATAGAAATCATTATCTTTAAGGAAATCTTTTAGTTCCTGTTTTGAAGACAAACTGTTGTGAATTTTTTTTTAGAAAGCCTTAAGTAGTAGCTTGCATATAGTGTATTTTTAAACAACTCTTCGAATATAGTAAAATTCATATTCTGTTGATAATCTACACTACATTTTTCTTTTTTTTTCCGCAAAGCATTAACCCATTTGTCAACCAACCATTTATTCTGAACCTTTATTCTGAAGTATCCCTTTCAACTGGCACATAAGTGAACCATCATTCCAACCCTTGCTAGCTGTCTCATGTGTGGCATATTATTATGTATCGTCTATATAATATTTATAGTCCGCTGTTGGTATCCATATTCTTGAATTTTTTTTAAATAATCTAAACGCCAGTGTACCATCCTCTTACTTTCCATAAAATCAACAAGTTTATCAACGATTTTGTATTTGATCCCGTAAGTTTTTTCAGCCGTCTACGTAAAGTGGTTTTATGGCAGCTTCTTCCCATCGTAACAAGCTTGGTGTATATAATATCAATTGTTGGTATTACATTTTTTTTGCATTCCTCGTTAACCAAATTCCTTAAACATTTAGCAGTCGCGATATTAATTTGTTTAGGTTTTCCAGCAACCGATCTTGCAATCTTAATAGAATATGAAATTCCTGCTAAAATGCAAATTCTCTTAGATAGTTCATTCAAAACTATCCTTTTCTTTAGAAGTCTTTAACACTTTTCAACAGTTACAGTCTCGGTGTCATTGTATCATTGCTTTTTGTATCACTCACACTAAAAGATTGTTGACTACTACACTTTCTCTAATACTACTTGGGTTCTCTTGCTACCATACACGAAAAACTGTACTTGATCTTTCCCATGGTCTAAACATTTTCTTTATACAAAGAATACTACAATTATTATACCTACTCACAACACAATTTTAACACAGCTCAAAATTAAAGCAATGCACAATGCACATCTATCAACAAACAAACTAGTTGCAAAGATACAACTAAACTAAAAATTGGCAAGTTCAGTCCCTTAAATAGGGCACAAGTATTTTTACAACCGGATTACTCATCGTAAATCAATCAGTTTAAAACATGAAAATTGATACTGCCGCATTTGTACAGTGAAAATTGTTATAAATTATATTTAGACGAAATATTAAGCAATATAATTGAAACTGTTTTTCTACTTTTAAGGACAAAAAAGCAAGTTCATTAGCGGAACGTAATTCAAATTTTTTCTGTACATTATATTTAAAGCATTATTTGGTTAAAACATATTATTTTTGGTGGTAAAAAATACATTAAATAAATATATTAATTTGTCTTAGGCCAATCAAGTTAGGTTTTTACTCATCACAAGTGTATAGACGGGTTTGACAGTTAAAATAAGTAGTATGAGATATTACAAAAAGACTCGCATCTAGGGATTCATGAATTTTTTAGTGGAAATATTTTTAAATAAACAATTAAAACGTCAATATCATTATTTTGCTCATAACTTATAAACTTGCCTATTTAGAGACAAGTTTATAAGTTATGAGAAAAATAATGATATTGACGTCTTAATTGTTTATTTAAAAATAGTTCCACTAAAAAATTCATGAATCCCTAGATGAGAGTCTTTTTGTAATATCTCATATTAACCATTTCAACTGTCAAACCCGTCTATACACTTGTGACGAAAAAACGCTTATTTTCTACTAACTTGACTCGTCTATCTGGACAAAAGGTGGTAAAAGATGGTCTGGAAGTGATATTTTGTTTGACTTTGCCGACGGACAATAGATAGATGGTGTGAACTTTAAATTCATTATCAGAACCTAATATATAATACTACAAAAATTGTTGAATTTTTTTTTCATTAGTGTTTAAAAATAATTTAAGTTTAAACATTCACTAACTCTGCCTCGTAAGAAATAAAAGAACACTTTTTAAAACATTGATAATGGTTTTTCATTTTGTGAATTGGTGATGACTAAATAAAAGTTTTCTTAAACGGCCTTAAAAAACGATACATATCTCTATATATTTTTTAAATATCTACTTTTTCTGACTCTGAAGTTGTGTATTTTACTTTATATTATTATGATTACTATTATAATTACTTTTAAATGAATTAAGTATCTCTGTCTATTTGTCTATTATCAGGGACTCTGGTAAAAACAATGTAATTTCTCTATGGATTTCACACTGCTAAGTTAAAAGCTTATTCACACTGTTTTATGACTAGACTTCGGCAATATAATATGCGAATAATTCGGCAATATATATGCAAATAAAAATGTAGAAAATATGCGCATAAATATGCACGTGTTTACCCGAAAATATGCAAATATTTTATAAAATATGCATACAAATATATAAAAAATCGTAAAATAGTAACAATTTTATTTAAAAAAAAAGTGTACATAACTAAATATTTCCTACTATTCATTAAGATTTACATTTATTTTAAGTAACTACATCATTTTTAAGTATGAATAAACTTATTTAGAATTATGGTAACAATAAATGACCAAGTGATGTTCAAAATTTTCTAACAAAAACTTGTGGCTTCTGTCTGAGTACATAATATATTTACATATGGAAAAACTTCGTTCAACATCAACTGATGTAACGGGAGCATTTTTCAAACTAACCAAAACATTTGGTTCTAAATTAATTGTTTCCGAAATATTTCCAGCTAGAACACTGACTACTTCAGAAAGAATATGGTAACCTTTATTTTTTTCCATAGTAGCTTCAAATTTTTTTAAAATATCTTTTCCAATATTACCTCTAACGTTCCGACAACATGAGGCAAATTCTTTTATTAATGCTGTACTTTCGAACAATGACAGTTTTGGTGATTCTAACTGAGTAATTGTTTTTTGAACAAAACTAAAATTTAATTTTATAAATGAAAGTTCTTGTTGAAGCAAGTTACTCTGAAAAGTTTGTTTAGAATCCAAAAGAGATTGGGAACTTTCATCTGTTAACGTATCAATTATGTTCTTTATTTTAACAAAATGATCTGCATAAAAATTAGCTGCTTCTAACCATGTTCCCCATCGCGTTAAAATAGGTCGTGGTGGAAGAGGAATGTTAGGTAGCATTTCTTTATAAAGTTGAATTCTTATAAAAAGATTTAAGAAATACTTTTTTGACACTGGATATCATGGTATTTACAAGAGGAAACTTTTTTCGTATTTCCTCTGCAACTCTGTTTAATCCATGCGCTACACAAGTAACATGTATTAAATCTGGGAAAAATATTTTTAAATTTTGTCCTGCTTTCACCATATAAGGAGCAGCATCCGATAAAATAAGCAGTAATTTATTAGAAGGAATAGTTGTCGGAAGAAAAAAAGTTGCTAATGTTTCTTGTATAAAACGCGAAATTGTTAAAGCATTTGTTTTCTCAAGTTGCTGGCATGAAATAAGATGAGATTTTGGTAAGGTATCTTCTTTAAGAACACCAATCAATAAATGAGCAATATACTTTCCTGAGGAATCAGTGGTTTCGTCTACAGATATGTAAAAATATTTATCTGCAATTTCTTGCTTAATATTAATTAACACTGACGAGTATAGCTCGTTCACATTATTTCTTCTTAGAGACCGATCACTTGGAACATTAAGTTTGCAATATTTTTTTAGAAACGAACTAAAATTTACATTTGCTAATTTTGAAAGCGGTATGTTTGCAGACACTAATGCGTGACACAAGTCTTCATTAAAAGTTTCTTGCTCATCTAATTTTTTTGAAGTAGATTGGAAATATTTAGCCATTGAAGTTTGATGTTTTCCTCCTATTTTTCCTTTTTTTGCAATGTGTGAAGCAGTTCTCACATGTTGGTCTATCTGAAATTTCTTCTCACATGCTATCTATAAATAAAAATGAAAACCTTTATTTTAACCCAACCTTTAAAATATAAAAATATACAAGGTGTTTTTGGTTAATCAAATAACTGGTTTGAAAAAAAACACTCGCTAAGTGTTTTAAATGCAGTATTAATCCACAAATTAGTTTTTGTTACTAACCAGTAGTACATCATATAACTTATTTTAAAATTCAACAGAAGTTTTTTTTTGTTAATTTAATTACAATAAAAATAATTGTGTGTTAGAATAGCTGACTTCATAAAAAAAAGTAAAGGTGAAAAATTTTTCTAAATACACACCATTATATTGTACCATGAACAATTTTTCTCACTAAAGGAAGCTATTTTTCATTTAAAAACAACCTACGGGTACTAAATTTCAAGTAAATACCTTTATTGGTTTTAAAGTTATTGTTGTTATTAACTAAAAGAATTTAATTTTTTTTAATTTTAACACCCTGTATCTCGAAAAGTAAATAAGTTTGACCCCTCATTAACTATATCGTTTTGTTCAATTTTTCGAGAAGTATCTACAGTCAAACGTTGTAAGTGTCATTTGGAAACACCCTGTATGTATGAAATATTAGATATTTAATAGAAAATATTAT